AGTGCCTCCCAGCCAGCACCCTCCAGGAACGGCTGCATCTTGCCTTGCCTCCCGCAAGGGCCTCCTCCTAACGCATCCCATCCAGACGTGATTACCTCCCCAATTCCCAAGCCAACGATGAAAGACTCTCACAGCCAAGCATGCGTTGATCGTGCCTGCCACGAGCTAAACAGCCACAGGTCGCAAATCAAGTTCCCCAAGGCCCACGGACCACCTGTGTCTCCCAAACCACTCCAGCCTCATGTAGCACCCAGCCCACCAACCCCAGTCTCCCCTTGCAGATGCCCCCAGTCTCCCAGCTCTTCCACTCTCACCCCAAAGCTAAGCAGAGCTTCAAGAGGGTGCCCGAAACACAAGTCTCATCTGCCTACCCCATTCCACCAACCAGCAATGCAACCAGAGAACCAGAGATAATTGTGCCCACCCACCAGCCCACCTCCATCCACTGCAGCCATCCTCTTTCCAGGCATCTCCAGCTTCATCTCACTTCGCAGTGCTCACCTGCTGATGAATGCCAGCTGCTATTGAGCTGCTCAGGACCCTTTCCTCCCTCATCCTCTCACCTTATCCCCATTCCTTCTGCACTTCATTTTGGGCAAACGTGGGAAAATTGCATCTTCTTCCTCCTAAGGTCTTGCATCAACTAGATGTCATGCTTAGGAACATGGTCTAGTGGCAGACTTAGGGCTGGTTTGATGATTGGACTAGATGATCTTAAAGGTCTTTTCCAACTAAAACCATTCCATTATTCGATTCGATTCTATTTGATTCTATTTGATTCAATTCACCATCCCAACCCTGGGTCTCTGCGGTTCATCAGAGACCATCCTCCATGTGTGCCCTGGTCTCTCTCCCCTCTTTAGCTGAACATGGCAGTGACATTATACCCGGCCCAGCCCCCCACTAAAGAGATCACTGCTATCTGAAGCCAATGGAGAGACTGTCTTCTCTATGGAAAAAAAAAGGACCATTTAAAATTAACTCATTTGGGCAAAGAAAGGGAAATGGTGCCTGAGGAAACACACTGCTGGGTTCTGCCCAGCTCCATCCCACACCTCCACACCAACACACCAGGTCTCCAAGCTTAGGAGGCAAGAAAACCCAAGCCTACTTCCATCTTTGCAGATCTCCACCACGTATCCATCCAGGCCTGACCGTCCTGTCTGCTCCGGGGCTTTCCAGGTCAGCTTAACTGAGTTTTCGCTCACTTCTTCCACGGCCAAGGACAATGGGGAGCTGGGTGGCTCTGTAAAAAACCCATAGTGGTGAGGACAGGCTCTTGAGTACTGGAGCTGTTGGAGGGCAATTGTCCAACGTCCATGCTTGTCTCCAGCCCCCCCATCCTCTTAATCCCCCATCCCTATCCCACTCCAAAAATATCCTTAATTACTTCATCCCTCTGTCCTTTCACCCCAGCACCCCCACATGCCCCCTCCCAGTCTTGCATATCTCCCCTCTCCACTTCAGTGTCTGATCCCATTCTTACCTGCCTTTGGTTTCTCAGGCTCAGGGGCTGGGGCTTGGGCTTCAGCTGGGGGAGCCGGGGGAACTTCTTCAGAGGCTGGAGTTGTTTCTGCTGTGGGGGCAGGAGCAGGCTCATCAGCGGGGCCTGTGGGCTGCTCTGTGGCAGGGGGATGTTCAGCGGCTGGGGGCTCTTCAGCAGCTGGGGCTGGTGCAGGTCCATCCTTTGGGGTCGGCGCCGTCTCTTTCTTTGGAGCCTCTGGAGCCGGGTCTGCAGCTGGAGGTGCGGTTTTGCCAGTCATTGCTGCAGAGCCGGGGGACTGGGGAAGGGGGTGTTTCGGGGTCTCTCCTCTGGGATCTCCGCTCTTGATTGAGGTCTCTGCTCCAGACCAAAGGTATTTCTTCCAAATTTGGGATCTTGACTCCGAAGCTGGGCTCCCTGCTCTGGACCAGGCGTCTCCACTCTGGATGGACAGTCTGTGCTCTGGGACGG